GGAAATATAATATGAATAGTGGCTCTACTTCAAATTTAAGTCATCATCTTAAGAATCATAAAAATAAAATTGATGTTAATGTAAATAAACAAGCAATGATGTTGGACAGATTTCTTAAAAGTGGCAGTAACAGTGAACATATTGTGTGTACTGTATATATTTAAATCAATTAATATATTTACATTTGTAATTTTCTTAATCTGTGACCCGTTGACCCGACCCGACTCGTTTGGAGCTCTAATTATCACAATTTATTACATTAATATTAAAATTAAATGCTTAGTACTATATATGATACATATAATTATCAGATTGTCAAAATAAGCACTGCTGCTCTCAACGATTATAATGGTTATTGTCAATTGTTTTGTTTAATCTTTTATTTTTGATGATTTTCTTAAATTTGCCTCTATTTTAGTTTTCAATTAAAATTAAAATATTTTTAAGCATTCTGTTTAAGTAACAATTTAAAATTTCTAGTGTGAAAATTTTATCACGCACAGAGAAAGATTTTTTAATAGTAAAATAACATTCTATGAAGCCACATTATTTATTGCGAACCACTATTTAATAGGAGATTTTAATTGGCTAAGAAGTTTTGCGTTTCAATAAGAATGGTGGTATCAATAAATCCAATATTAATATTGATTTTTCTATAGAATGCTTTACTGTGTGTAAAAATTTTAATTGCATATTTGGTATAGATTTATTTTTTTATTTCTATTTTGCCAAATAGCAAAAATTTACTTTTTTATTTTGTACATAATTTCCTTATATATATCATTTTTGAAGGCAATGCAGATTTATTTTTAATACTACAATTTTTTTTAAAAAAAATGCATAATTTAATGAATTATCCTCATTGCAACTATTTAAAATTATTAAATTTATTAATAATAATTTTCAATTTATTTTTATTAGATAGTTTCAATTTTTTGGTTTCTGGTCAATTATTAAATATAAGTGATCAAAGTTCGATAGTGTTAAATGATAGACTCTATTATTTCGGAGGAGAAACTGGCTATTTAAGATATACAAACCAAATAATTTACCTGGATTTATCCACATCATTTTCACTTAATCAAACATTACCAATAAAACTAATTATTCCAAAATCAGTAATACCTCCATTTAAAAGTGCATCATTGGCATTAGGAGGAACTAATAATGACACACTTTATGTTATAGGTGGATATAAAGGTCTATCAGTACCTGGTTCTACAGCTTATGGATCTATAGTTTATTCAATAAATACAAATTCATTTGATACATGGACTCCAGAAACCATAAATGGACAATTACAATTAAATAAAGTTGGAAAAATGATATATACACTAGATAATAATGGAAACATTTATATATTCGCTGAAAAGGATCCAAATATATATAAATTCAATGCCAAAAGTATGATATTTACAACCTTAACGCCAAGTAATCGTGGTCCATCTTTATTAGTCATAGATTTTTTCAATTGTCATGTGTTGAATGATGAGAATATAATTTGCCTAAATCTTCTTAGAACTAAAGTAATATTATAATTTATTCTTTTATTATTTAATTAAAATAAAAGGAATGAGAATATTATATTTTCTAATAATACATATTATATTTAGACGTACTTGTATAATATTAATCAAAATTCATGGTCTAATATTGTAAGCTATATAATCATCAGTAATAAGATTTTCAACTAAAAAGTTATTAATAAATATTTGTTACATTAGACAACAATTGGTGATACACCTGATCCACGATTTGGATGTTCTTCAGTATTAGGTAAATCAATTAGTTTTATCATTAGTTAAATTTATTTTTTTTAATTTATATATATACATATTTATTTGTTTTAGCACCTGATGGAAGGATAATTGTGTATGGTGGTACTTCAAGTTTGGATAAATTAGCAATATTGGATATAACAAAATCTCCTTTCCAATGGACAGTTCCAACAAACTTTACTAATTATCCTGTTAATCTAATTAATAAATTTCATTGTTATCATACTTCAAATTTATATAAAAATTACATGATAATCTCATTTGGTAACTTATAATAATAACAATTTAAAATTCATACATAAATATATTTATTTATTTATATTAATTATATTTATATTCAATAATAATAATAATAGGTGTTCTCATTGGTTATGGTGACTATCAAAATATTTTATTGTTAGATATTAGTGACAAATATAATTATAAATGGCTAGACACATTTGATCCTTCAACAGCTAAAATCATTACTAGCACTGGTGCACAAACTACTGGTATAATTATTGGATCAATTACATCTGGTGCAATCTTCATCATTGCTTTCATTTCTATTCTTATCATATATAGAAGAAAAAAGAAATCCAATAAAATATTTAATAATGTTGTTGTTTGTGATGATGAAAAGACAGAGAATTAAATCAACAAACTCATAATGAAAATGAAAATGAATTTACTAGTAATATTGAAATCATTTCAAAACAATGATAATAGCTACAAATATACCAATAGTGATAGTATGTAACAATTTACATTTTCATCACGAGTACTATGTACAAATAAACATTAATGACGGTGAACAAATCAATTTTATATATTAAGTGTTTTTGCTAATTATGTTTAGTAATATTCAAATAACTGTATTTTCTTATCATTATAAATATGTTATTATGTTATTATATTAAAGGAATAAAGAATAACTTATATTTTTACCACAATTAAAGTATTTGTTTGTAGAAAAGTGTTTAATTCATTTTTGAAGTAATTCTTCACAAATTCTTTACAATTTGGTAACAGCAGACGTTCACACACACACACATTCACGTTACGATATATTATTCAGAAAAAAAAACAAAAAGCAGCGGGTGGACGTTTGCGCGCGCACACACACACACGCACATGCACACACTCACGTTTATAATATATAATTCAAAAAGCAATGGACGTTTTTAACACACATGCACATACACATATTCACGTTTACATACATTAAGTTTTTAATACACACATTCACGTTTATATACATTAAGTTTTTAATACACACATTCACGTTTATATACATTATGTTTTTAACACATACACACATTCATTATTATTTATACACTTACACCTATATTATTAACACTTCTGCATGAGTAATTTGTATAACTGGGCTTTTAGAGAAAATAATAACGACTTTGACGAAGAAAATTCACAAGAAGAAAGCTCTATCATTTCTACATCACAACCGGGAAGAGAATTAGAGGGATCGGAAGTTTTTAACAAATAATCCCTTGAAGAACGATCAAGACATCAGACTCCACAATCACAAACCAACGTCGAAATAAATTTTGAACAAACCCTCACTACTTAATTACAAGGATTAAATACTATTATTTATTAAAAAAATTTTGCCCGATGCATCAGTAATTTTGCCGCTGCGGATTTCTTGTCATAATAATAATAATAACAATAGCGGTTTTTTTTAGCTGGAACTATAAATCCGCTGTGGCGAGGTTTGACTGTAATCATTTAGCATCTGTTAAGTACATAATAATAAAATTCAACAGGCACGTGATTATTTTGTAAGATGGAATTTATCAGTTAAAAAATTCCACGTGACTAAATTAACCGGTTAACTCTTAATTTTAACGGTTCATTAACCGGTTAAAGAATTGTTGTGATAAAAGGAAAATCATTTTGGAATTTAGTATTTACCCTCTACAACAAATCTTCATTCAATCCATGATGCACAAGAGATCTTAGCTTAATAAAATAATATCCTTCTTTCATGAAATAAACTATTAAACAGTGGCACACACTAGAAATCCTAAGTTGATTATTAGTTGGTTGACTAAACAGTTGATTATCTTACATCATGATGTATATAAATGAATTCCACAGTTTACTCCTTTTCTGAATTATTAAAATGGGGCATACTGCAACAAAACCAGACAGAGTGAACATTGGTATTACCAAAGATTTCAGGGATTAAAAGTAGCAATCACCAACATAATCCCTTGTTCTCTTTCCTCTCAAAATTGTATACAATTGCATATATGTAAAGTTTTTGTAAAGCTGGATGTCTTTCATCAGGAAATTAATAAAACCAAAATAAACTCAGTTTTATATTTTTTTATTTATAAAAAATTCTCAAAAGTGACCAATTGCAAGCAAAAGATGAATTAATGTCCAAATAATTAAATGATTTAATACAGCACCATGCCCAGCCACTCATGTCTTACTTATCAAGTTTGCCTGAACACAGACTTTTCATCCATTTTTAGCTTTAAATATTTCATTTGAATTTTAAATACAATCATTAGTTTTTAGTTCAGTTGTTCACTACCAACCAATGTTATGTACCAAGTACAAAATAAATACAATGTTGTTAGTATGCAAAATTTATATACACAAATGCTAGCATCAAAAGAAATATATTTAAAAATTTAGCAATAATTTGTTATTAGTGTGTTTCTAGTAATATAATAAAATGAAAAAATCTAAATACAATAACATTAAAAATAATAATTAATAATAATCATAAAATTCATCTACATCTATTGGTTGATTGTCATTTTTTCTAATATATTTAGATAAAATGTTCAAGTCAATTGAGATGAAAAAGTTTTTTATTATAAATAATAATAATGTTGTCATCATCATTACCTTTTTCATCTGATCCAGCATTTTCATCATCATCAACAATTGTTTTATTTATTTCATCACTATCTTTTAAATATGAAGAAACTTTTCTTTTGTTGTTGGTTTTATTTGAAGATTTCATTTCATCAGATAATTCATTTTCACAGTCATAATTATTTAATGAATCATACTGTAAAAATTTATTCCATTCTTTAACAAATCTAGATCTTCCAACCAAATATCTGCAGGTGTCTATATCCTCAGTTTATTTAATTTTTCCTCTATTTTTTTGATTTCTCCATATTTATTTACCTAAATTTCATTATTTAATAAAGCAATCAATCTTTTTACAACTTATATGTTAAATAAATTTTTTAATATACACATACCTCTTGTATACTAAATTCAACAGAATTCATATTTATTAAATATCCATAACCACCATATTCTGGTGTTTCTTCTCTGTATATCCTATTGTGAGATTGTAAATGAGGACTGAGGAAGTCCCGAGCATGTCGATCAATCGGAACCAACTTACTGCGGCAGTCAC